GAGGGTAGTGCAGGGGTTATGAGACGAAAATCCCGTAGTTAAGGACCATCAGGGATATTGGAGTCGCTGGGGGCCAGGTCATTGGAGAATTCTAGCGGTCTACTGGAGTCTGTATTGCATTGCGCAGGCTCAACTTCGGGACCGAGGGGTTTCGGCAGTTTACCGTTGGAGACTTCCGGATGGTCAGGATTTTAGTTGTTGTCCTTGGGCAGGATTTGACAAACAATCCCCTTCAGAGAGGCAGCAGTTCCCGCTGCGCCGCTTTTCGGGGCCCTGCGAGTCTGCGACGGCTTTCGAGAAAAACCAAACTGCAAAACCCTATGGAGAAGCCTTGTCACGCCCAGCCAAGTCTGTCCCTTCGTCCTGAAACCAAAATCCCCATGAAAAGCAACACACGTTCAAACATTACAAAACCAATAGAACGGAAACACCAGACACCCGCAAAGAACCCAAAGCCAACAGCAACGTTTGTAGAATACCTTCATAACCGCTTCTGGCACCCTAGTCAAAAAACACCGCTAGCCCCAGACCCTAAACACTACTGCGAAGCCCTAGTAGAACCCGTTTTAGAAGAAAACATCTAAAGCAATGCCCTACCGTAAGAGGTCGAAGGCTCATTGCGACAGCCTTCTAAAGATGAGCATCTCGTCCTGGCGGGTCTGGACGCACCAAACGCCGCTGGGACTTCTGCAGTGGGGGTGCTACGATAAGCGTACTGTACGCGTATAATAAAGTGTATTACAATTGCAAGGGGTGTCGGGTTTAGGCTGTGCCCTGTATCCACAGAATCCACAGCAATTTATCTGCTTAAGCAGGTCTTTACACAGGTGGGACCTCGGGTTTCGATTCAGGCTGTTGGCTAACAGTGCCCACCTCAGGAGGCTGCCGATCATTGTAAAAACTGCTTCAAGCGAGCAAAGCAGAGCTCAGACAACGCTTCATTACAAGTTCTGTTTGTGGTTGTGCAACCGGCTCACCACAAAGCCAATTCCCAGTCCCGAGCCCTGGGCGCAGAAGTACGCAGAAGTGTGGAGGTGATCAGGTAAACAGAGAAATGCAGTGGTTTCAAGGAGACTTGCCCAACAGGCGACAGCTTTTTTTCTCTTATAGCCTTTCGTCGCAAAGGCAGAGCAGTCGGAAGGAGGAGGAGGCCAAGAAGAAGTACGAGCAGGAGACGACTGCAGTGTGTTTTCATGCTGCACGCATGCCAACGGCTCTATGATGCCCAGGCGCACTTTAGAGCTTGGGCTTCTCGCATCGCTCGAGCTTGTGGGCTTCGGAGACTTAGGATTGACGGGGGTGGAGGGTTCAGGGCTCATAGGTATTTGTTGACAGGTTGACGGTGTAGGAGTGTAATTATGCCGTATACGTGATGGACTTTGATACTGAGAGAGAGCTTGACAATGGCTTTGTCATCCAGCCTTGGTTTCTTTTTACCCGGCACGGAGTGCCCGGTTGTAAAACGTCCTGTATAGGCCCTAAACCCTAAATCCTATAGGCCCTATACCCTATGCGGAGCCTTCAAGAAGATCTTGGACAGGACATGGCCCGCATCCGCCGTCTGGAGGCCGTGAATGCCTTGCAGACCAGGATTTGAAGGTTTTCCAGATAAGCCTGGTGCATTTCAGTTACTTGAAGACTACGCCGAAGGTTCTATAAACCCGATACAGTCCCGAAAAGAACGGCCCTAAATGCTTTCTTCGAAAAGCTCAAGCCCGAGCCAGAAGCCTCTCTGGCAGTATCTCTTCGAAGGTGTTACCCCTTTGTTAACCACTGCAAGCCTTGGAACGAGCCGTTAACATCCGAAAAGAGTTAACGTTGAAAGCTCAAGGTTTCAAGTGGGCCATGGTCTCGGGGCCTCACGCACCTCCACAAACTATGTGCTTTGGGTTACTGTGGCATAGGTTCAACGACATTCTGGTAGACTATACCCCAAAAGCCTAGTCTGATCATTTCGCTCCCCCCAACGAGAAGAACCTTCCTTTTTCTATGCGAAGGCCAACACAGGCAGACCCTCGACCGTATTCCCGAAAGCGCTTTTGGACACCCTGGCCTAAAACTCCAAATCGTAAGCAGACAAATCAAGCCCAAAGCCCTCAAGCCCCAAGCTAAACCCCTTTAAACTACGAGACCCAAAACCCCTAGCCCTGAAACCTGACCTCTTAAACCCCAAACTCTAGATCCCCCAAACTCCCTTAACTCTTAGACATTACAGCCAGAATTCTGGACACTTCAACCCTTAAAGCCTTGTACACCTCAACCGCTGCAGCTCCAACAAACCCTAAGTTCTGAAACCCGTAGTAAACCACTGGCCTCCCTGAGTTCCTTAGCACAGGTGGAGAAGGCTGACAAAGCGGCCGAGGTGGCGGGCCTCAACATGTTCCGCAAGGCGCGACTCGGGTGTTTAGGGTGATTTGGTTTAATTTGGTTTGGGGTTTAGATTTTTGTTTGTGCAAAACCAAGGATGTTGCAGGCGTTTTTCTCCATCTGCAGTAACATGCTGAAGCTTCTCTCGTGATACCGTGTCTGTTCATGTCATTTGCAGAAGTCTGTAGAAGTATGCATGTATACCAGAGCCCGGGACGGCTCTTCAGCTGAAGTTTTGAGGTCTGGCCTGAAGGGCGTTACGCTTTAGAGTGCAGGGTTGGGGATTCTCTTCCTGCAGAGTTCTATAAGGATCCCAGAGGTCTGGATCCATGACATGGCCCCTTCTGCTAGGCCGATTCGTTCTTGGAGTTGAGCTTTAGGGTGCCTTCCCTAAACCCCAGAATGCACTAACCAGGAGCCGTAGACCCTCAAGCCTATAACACTGAACCGTTCACTGCCAGGTCATGAGCGACAACCTTGGCCTCATCGTTTCGGAGTGGAAAGACTTCACCAAAAACGAGCTCCTCCACAGGAGTCCTACATCATCTCCTAAACCCTACGCCCTATAAAGCTTGTAAACCCTAGAACCCCTGCATAACTCCTATAAGCCCCGTCAGCCTTATAAACCTTTATAAGCCGTATAAACCCTGGGCCCTAAACCTTCGAAGTGCGTGTTTGACATTGAAGGTCAGGGCGTAAGCAAGCCTAGGGCTTCGGGCTACTGAGAGCTTTGTGTTGGAGTCCTTTTTCTGCGAGGGTCAGGAGGGGTGCAGTTAGCAACAGTTAGTAACAGCATCCCTTCAGAATCCCTATGTGGTTATTCGGCAGGATACTCCACAGCCCGCGCACCCTAAGCTAGATCAAACCATAGACCCGAGGGCCTAGAACTTTCGTCACATCCGATCTCCACACCATCAAACTCGTTCGAATATGCGAGACTTGGTAAGGGAGCGCCTCACCTTCAGCCCGAAACAGCACCTGCCATTGCCAGGAAGTTGGAGAAGGACATGAGGGACACGAAGAACCACATCGACAGCTTGAAGAAGGACCTCGGCTCTGAGCCATTTAACAGTTTTGTATCTGACATGATGGAGACGCAAACTTGGGAATACCGTAAATACCAGCACCACTCATCCAACCGCGACTTCCAACTAGGACTGTGGGGATGTAGAGGGCATAGGGCTGATAACACAACGGGCTTTCAGGAAGCAGGTTATTCAGGGCTGAGGGTTTGGGGCCTTCTAAGTACGTATCCCACGACATAAGAGTCTGAATACTGAGTCATTAGGAATATATTCCCTTAATTGGTCTTAGTTGCAGTTTACTAGCTACTAGCTAGAAGATGCAACGAAACCCCAGTTGAACTGTTCAGGCCCCTGTGTGAAGTTTATGATCAGGGCCTGTGGATGAAAGTCGGGGTGTCCCAACCTTTAATCTGCCTACGTGTCCTTTAAACTTCGTCCTGATGATGGGGTATGGCAAGTGAAATTTCAACCAGATCGGTAGATCTCTAGTTGCGCCTCGCATTTTGCGCCTCGCATTTGGACAACGCATTTGGGCAACGCACCAGCATGGGAAATCCCATGCTGGCCAGATCAGCACCCTTCGACACTCCGCAACCTGTCCCAAGGAGGCTCGTGCGAAAGGCGAGCGAGTGCGGCATCTGGTCGCACAGAACCTCCTCGCCAAAGACAAGAAGGCACCAGGGTCTCGGACGAAGGCTCTAAAGCCGCTAAGCCACAAAGCCTGAACGGGCCTCAGGTCTTGACCCAATTCTAGGTTGGAAGCTCCAAAGGGATGGCTTGATAATGTAAGACCGGAAGGTTGGAGGTGAAGCAGGTTAGTTCTGCGGTTTGCGCCTGTGTTTGTCGGAGTGGAGGTGTTTGCAACGATGGCATAAGTAGGGTCTTACCTGGAGCTTCGTAGAAGGAGGGCTACCTGGTCCAGGGCTCCGCATAATCGGGGCGTCTACTATTGAGGCTCACTGGTCCCTCGCTTCAGGAGGAAGCACATTGCTCGTGCTTGTTCTACCATTCGATTACCTTCAAAGACTTCAGCTCGCTTTTCATGTCACTGCAGAACCTTATGGCGTAAGCGTGCCATGCTGTTCTGTATGGACACGAAGATTTGTTGCGAAGGCGAAGCAGCGAAGCCAGATATTCAGCCCAAAATGCCAGAAGCCCCGAAAGCCGAAAGCTGACCGAAGCCAGGAAGTGCTGAGCGACGCCTTCGCGAAGTGGGTCATCAACTGGAGGCGATACCTCATCCAAGACAGGTAGCTTTCAGCACAAGGTGTTGCGACTACTTGCAAGTAACCTTGTACCCTCGCAAAGAAGATGTCCCCCCCCCCCCCCCCATCCCCGCGCCTCCTCCCGGCAGAGACTCATGTCCACCACGACACCCTGGGGTGCCATACTCCAGTGCACCATCCATGTGGGCCCTGCAGCCTCGTCTTCCCGGTACGGTAGGTTTGCCTCCTTTCAGTTCAGGTTGCTGTCAAAAGCATGCATGGGGCCTTTCCTTTGACAATTGGAGTTCCAGGGATGGACTTGGAATGTGAAGCTCTCTCGGGTTCCCCAAGGGCATCTTTCGGCTCGGAGCCCCCGCTACCCCTCGGAGATTCCCAAAAGCAAATGGCTGGGTCTGAGCCATCAGATCATGAAGTCTCCTCGGAGTTTTCGCTGGTGACAGAGGTTGGGCCGGGGCCCCAGTCCGTGAAAGAGTGGCTACCCGATCCATTCTTGGCCATGAACCTGGGAGAAGAGATGCAGAGCCAGTATCTCTCCGATGCGATGCAACGGCTGAAGAACCCCGAGCTCTGGGAAAGCGCCGCTGCGTCTCAGATTCGCCAGCTTTCCTCCAACGCAGACCCGGAAGTGCGAGTGAAGCTCGATGAGCTGAGCCACAAGTACCAAGAGGTCGCAGTTCAGAAGCTGCGAAGCCTCCGAGGAAACATCATGGCGATGGCGCACATCCTGGTAGAATTGCTCGCAGCTCGGGACTACGATCAGAAGATGCGCCAGGAGTGCCAGGATGAGCTGAAGGACGGCCAGTGGCTGTCCAAGCGTTAGCACCCACCGTCTGTTCTAGTGATTCTAGTCGTGTGCAAGAGTGGGTTTTAGGGCTCCTCTTCGCTCTCACCGCACCTCTGACTGCATTTCGAGCTTCAGCCTGCAGCTTCAGTGGAGTGCGCTTGGCTTGCAGAATTGCAGAAGCCTTCAGCCGCCCGTAAGTGCAAAATTGCGAAATCATGGATGCCCCCACATCAGGATGCCATCGAGAAGATCCAGAACATCTTCGTAACGCAGCAAGAGGACTACAAGGCTCATTCGGAGATTCATTTCCAGCGTGTGGTAAGTCTCTTCCAAGACTCTCAGAAAGACTCCTGGAAGTCAGCTCTTGGTGCAATGTCTGCTGTGGTAGGCGCCATGGTGCCTGCCTATATCCTTCGGCTGGTCTGGTTGGCACTGTTCCGACCGAAGCGCATGGACAAAACCGACATCTTGCGGCAGTGGTACAAGCCCCTCTACCGCGATCTAAATGGAAACGTGCACTACAAACTCATGAGGAAGAAGGAGGGTGGGCTGCGGCTTAGAGCAGGATGGCTGTTGAGTCTACTCGTAGGTGGTTCTTCAGCAACAATCCTCCTATGCGGAAGGGCGGTTCTATCGGCGTACTGGCATGCTCAAATCAGCAGGCAGAAGAACGTGATGGCCAAGGCAGAGTCCCTTGTGAAAGTCGAGATGCAGCAACTCCAGTCCATGTGGCAGGGCACTTTGACAGTTGAGTCGGTGCCCTTTGATTCGACCGGTTTAAAGTGTGTATGCCAGGTGTATGTATGTTGCACCTACACACACACACACACGTTTATATATGTAGATATGTAAGTAAGTGGGGTAACTAAGTATGTATGTATGTATGTATGTATGTATGTATGTATGTGCACACACACATACATACATACATACATACATACATACATACATACATATATACATATACATATACATATACATACACATATACACATCTACACATCTACACA